TTTTGTCGTCATTATTGTCTGACAAGCTGTGCCACAAAAAATTAAGCTTAATTAGGAAGCAGCAGTTTGGAATCTGTTGTGAAGTTATGTTCTGTCAGTATATTGCTGGCATTTTGCTAAGTAAGTACATTTATGTTACTAAATGATCTTGTCACTTTAGTAAAGTTCTTTATCTACGCAAATTATATTGATTATCTGTGATATTTTATATTATCTAAGGTAAATTTATACATTTCGAAGCATAATGAGACACTAGAACATGGCAAAATAGTGCACAATACAAAGTGATATTATGCGCCGAGTCGTGACAGAAGATAGTAAAAATAAAGTTAGCTTTTTGATATCACTTTTCTAATCCAGAATTAGTTTACATATTCGGTTCATATACGAAAGAATAGTGTTTCCTTTAAACGAATATTTAATGTTAAAAATGATATCGTAGTGATACATAATGTGATTTTTTTTTATATTAATTGATAATGTAACATATTGTAATACTATGTTTAAAAATGTTTTTACTTAAAATGTTTTATTTTTTCTGTGCTATCTTTCTTTTTCATGCTATAAATATATATGTTATGTTTTGCGTTAAATGTCATATCAAATTTGTTGTGATAATCACAGATGTTAAAAAATTTTAATTTTCATTTATATTGTGAAGAATGTTGGTGGAGATTGATCGAGCTCAAGAAGATGATAATGTCGAGTTAGCCTCTCTGTGGGTTGTTCTGTGACGATGATACGAGTGTGAGAAGTTGAATCCGGAAAAAAGAGTTGAGTTCGAGAGATAGAACGTTGAAGCGTAGCGTTGCTGAATGCGGCGAAAAAACGGAGTACATTGATGCCATTTGTATGCAATATGCGCAACAAAAATATTCCATAAACAATACTCAAGCAAATCTTGTACAAGATTTATATGCAATAACGCGTGCAAAATTTGTACGCGAGGAATGTTAGCTGGAAATGTTAGTTTTTTTTTAAGAAAATTGGAATAAAAGACAGAACAAAAATAGAATTGGCTAAAAATTATTTCATATGTAACATTAATTAATGTTTAAATCCTGATTGAATTTTTAAAATTCCATAAAAAGCAAAGTTTTCTTTTTCCTATGATATTTTTAAATTGTATTTAATTTTCTTTTCTTTCGAATTTACATTTTTCAAAAAAATATTTTATTTGCCTAAATTGAAGACATTTTGAGTTTAAGAAAAGAGAGAAGAAAATAAATATTAAATAAAAAATGATGAATTTTCAATGTGAGAGAAGTTTAATGAACGGCTGAATTATAAAAGCTCAATTACAAAAGACGAAATGCGACATTTCGTGCATATTTCACGGAGCATTCTGAAAAGGTAACCAAAACTATAAAAAAGAAAATCAAAAGTATAAAAATGTTGATCATATAAGGAGCATATAAGAAGTAATTGAACTAATTACTTTAACAACTATTGAAAAATATAATATACAAATATAAGTTATATTATAACAGTTTATTAAATTATTGAATAAATTATAATTTTTATTTTTATAATTTGTTCCTTTATTATCACTTATTGATTCAATAATTAATAAGAGTATTTAATATTTAAAAATTAACTTGTTATTTATTAAATCTTATATTTTATTATATTTTTTTAAACTAAAATAGATTTATTTATTATATAAGGTGTCTGATTCCTAATGGTACATCACTTGTGTACAAGAAAAGTGGGTCAAAATGAGCAGAAAATTTCTCTATCGTTTCAC